AAATCTCATACATAAATATGCCTACCTCTTTGCCACAAGCTGTTGCAACTCTGTGTAATGTTCATAGAGGTCGGTAGCCGATTTTTGATCACAAAACCATTCACTTGCAAAGCATTGCTTCCACACGCAGGCTATAACGAAAATATCCTTCTGCTCAATGTAAATTGAGCGTGCCACTTGCATTAGCGAAACTAAAACAGCCTCGCTTTTCTGTGCCAAAGTTTCCTCGACGATGGTTCGAAACACATTCCGCGCCATTCTTCGGCCCTCATCCGTTTCAATACAATCACTATAGCCGCGGTGCAAAGTCATCAAAGCTACATCCGCACTGCCACTGCGCCAGAGCGCCATGGCTTTGAAAGGCGCAAAATTGGCATATACTTTTATAAGTGGATGAGCACGTAATTTACACAGATCTGCCAATGACTCTATCTGTTGCAAGCGACATAATTGCATGAGGTATTTAAGGCAAGACACCAGCACTTCATTGGATGGCAACTGCTGATGACGAACGCACTGCCTGATTAGGTACAGAAAATCGGGTTTATTTTTTATTTCTACAGTAGATAGCAACAAATTGTCTAATTGTGCTTGAGACAACGATCGTATATCTAGTCCCAATTGTGGCGAACGAATAGCCTGCAAATCAGTCACAACACCTTTGGACAAAATATTCACATTCTGACCGAAACTGATTGACTCTAATTCATTCTTTTCGCTATAACTGCTTGCATTAAGATCCGGTGTATTACTCTTCATAGTAAGCGAATCTCTCAGCTCATCCCATTTTTTTGAGTTGCGGCTTACCAATTCGTTTGTTAAGCAATCGATTGCATCCATTTGTGTCGATTTACGCTGCACTGAATTTGTTTGAGTTGTCCCGGAATTAAGCGACGGCCATAGAAAGGCAATGCAGTTTTGGAAACGCTGAAAAGCCTTTGGTGAACCGGGTGAAGTACGACGCGTCAACATAGCCATGATGAAGTTGGTGGCCCACGCCCACTCTGCAATGTTTTAAATATATGTATTAAAGCGATTGTTATCCAATTATAGTTATTTAATAAACATTACGTTTTGCAACCCGTCTGAGGAAAAGACCCACAAAAGCGAATCAACGATCGATTTGTTTTGGTCAAAAGAAAACAGCTGATTGCCAAATCGAAGTGATGAGTTGCCATCGCACCTTTAGCAGAGAACGATCATAAAAGAATAAACGCTTGTAAAAAGAGCACTGCTAGATTTTGGTAATTTGTAGTAGAGTAGAAATGGTTGGAAGTTTACCACTTTTATTAGTTTTTAATAGAAATTGGGGCATAAATGCTGTTGGGCTCCAAATCTCAAATTAAAAAAAAAAATACTGGAATCGATAGAGATGATTGAGCTGAGTATAACGGTATATTTCTTTTTTTGGGCAAACAACAAAAACAAGAATTATCAAAGGTTAAAGTTCAAAATAAGCAATTTTTGAAATCAAGATTTCTCAAAAACGAATTAATGGATTTTGAAAATTTTGATCTCATTTAATAGCAAATTTGATTCTCTTTAATACTTTATATAAACGTTGTATAGTTCTTACAAAAATTGAATTAATGTAAAATAATTATTAAAAAAAGCTTACAAACCCTAAGTGCGGCCGACGCCGCCTACACAGAAAGGTGTTCTCTGCAAAAGGTGTTTTTTTATAATTAGTAGCACACTTCCTGGGCCTCCCCCTAGCTGAAATAGACGACAACGTTGATGGATAAACCGCCCCGAACGGGGCTTAGTAGCCGTTACAACAACAACAACATCGTGAGCGCAGAGCGGCGCAAAATTTACAGAAATATTGGCTTGTTTCTTTTCTTTTCTAGCAGATAATTATCAGGAAGAAAAAGAATGAGAAAATTGAAGGAATTACGCTCACAGAGAGCGAAATAACGAAAAAGTAAAGAAACGCAAAACCAAGGCATATAAAGGCCAAGGCGAATCTATACAAGGTGGTGTTATCAGGTCCGCTGATTTCACGGAGAATTTGTACCTTTTGTCAAAATTATGTGTTTGTTGTAATTTGGCTTTGTACTGATTGTCAAGGAACGTATAATTTGTTGTTGTAATCTTTGTTTTTGTTCTGTTATCACCACCTTGTACAAATTCGCCTTGATAAAGGCCTTGCGCAAAACTAGCAGAAATTAGCAAGTAATCAGCTGATCGGTGTATTTGACTATTGAAAATATTTGGCGCGAATTTTTGTTTTCCAGTGCTGGTAATAAACCCACATTCAGCCGCAGGGTACTCCATATTATCGCATCTCTTCAACAAAGGTAATGGTGGCGTACTATCCTGTGCCATTGAAAAGACACAGGGGCTCAGATGCTGGTTGCCTTTAAGGCTTCCCCACGTATGTATGTAGATACAAGAGAAGCGCTTGATGTTGTAGAGAAAGCTGCCGTACAGCACACGGCAATCGTTCTTTGAAGTTTAGCAACAAGATTTGCCACGCTATAGATTGAGAGTCTGTTCTACCATACCACTGACTCATAGCTGATTATGGGTCTGATCAAAGAGGTATAAATACAGAGGATTCTCTTTGGTGACAGAACCCACATTTTCCAAAGACATCGCTTTCCGCACACGTCGAAAACGTGAAAATCCCTGAACACCTGAAAAACCTGGCGTGGCGTTCTACTCTTACACCGTTCCTCCTGCTATTATATGTATTACTAACTTACACTTAATTAAGTAAATATGAAGGCCAGTTCGCATTTAGGTCTTAAATTTATTCACAGATGCATATGTATGTAGGGTAAATGTTTATACATATTTAAGTATATATGTATGTGC